GACCTCGTGATCCACCTGCCTCGGCCTCCCAAAGTGCTGGGAGTACAGGCGTGAGCCACCGCGCCTGGCCGGCTTCAAGAGAGTTTCTTGTCACACGTGTCCGTGTGAAGAACCACCAGGCAGGCTTTGTGTGAGCAACATGGCTGTTTATTTCACCTGGGTGCAGGCGAGCTGAGTCTGAAAAAGGAGTCAGCAAAGGGTGGTGGGATTACCATTAGTTCTTATAGGTTTTGGGATAGGCGGTGGAGTTAGGAGCAATGTTTTACGGGTAGGGGGTGGATCTCACAAAGTACATTCTCAAGGGTGGGGAGAATTACAAAGTCCATTGATCAGTTATGGTGGGGCAGAAACAAATCACAATGGTGGAACGTCATCAGTTAAGCTATTTTCACTTCTTTTGCGGATCTTCAGTTGCTTCAGGCCCTCTGGATGTCTCCGTGCAGGTCACGGGGATATGATGGCTTAGTTTGGGCCCAGAGGCCGGACATTTCTCACGCTGGCCCTCCCAAAGTGCTGGGATGACAGGAGTGTGCCACCTTGCCTGGCCAGACAAATATTTATTAAACTTATTATGTGTTGCCAAAGAATAAGACAAATACCATTAGAACCATACGTAAATACATATTATAGTGGTAATAATAGTGATAATAAATGCTGAGTTGATTTACTGGCCAGACAAGGGAATATACCAGTGAAGAAATTCACTGACATGTTTTCTGGGAGGAGAAAACTTGGGGTTTTGATTTTGGTGTTGCTTGTTTTCTTTATTATTATTTTAAATAATTAGAAAAAAATGTTTTTTCTCAGTGGTTATGCCAATTAAGGATTGGCAACACGCAACCTGGGTAGGACAGAATGAGGCCTTTAAGTCTCAATAAGCTTGGTTAAGAAAAGCCACATATTGGCCGGGCGCGGTGGCTCACGCCTGTAATCCCAGCACTTTGGGAGGCCGAGGCGGGCGGATCACAAGGTCAGTCCATGCCGCTCCTCATTAAGGACAAAGCAGCAGCTCCCAGCTCTCGGGACTGCTGCCTGCGGGCGGTGCTCAGCTGTCGGCCTTCTTCGGAACTGCCTCTGCTGATGGCAGCTCTCTCCCACGTCATGCCCCTTCTCAGGACAGCCGATAGCCCATGACATGCTGGCCTGGAGGTCTAACTTCCAGGCCTCTTTGCCTCAACTCAGGACGGCTCTGCAGAGTCATCTTAGCTTCAGAGCTCCCCGCAGGGCTGGCTGAGCTCTTTACCACAATTGCATCATGGTTCAGCTGCCCTCTGCCTCCTCCTGCTGCTGCAATTATCAGCCTGTTCCTAATATTATCAGCAGGGGGATAAAACACAACAGTTTCCTAGGAGAGAGGACTCCTGGAACATGAGCTGGAGCAGACGGGTGGAGTCGTGGAAACAGAGCATGAGGTTGTTTCAAGCTTCAAGGGGCCACTAGGTCCAGAGCGGGAAGGGAAGAACTTCAAAATCTTGCCACGTGAGGAGCAGCTGGAGGAGGTGAAACTATTTAACTGGAGAAGTAAAGATGTATGGGGAGTAGGACAGCGGGCTTCATGTATTTGACTGACAATCAAGTAGAGGTTGGGTCAGACTCCTGCTGCTGGGTCTCCTGGCTTCTGCTCTTGACCACCTACAGCCCATTCTCACACCATTTAGCAAGTCATGTTGCTCCCCAGCTTAAAACCCTCCCCGTCTTTTTTTTTTTTTGAGACAGGGTCTTGCTCTGTCGCCCAGGCTGGAGTGCAGTGGCACGACCTCCGCCTCCCAGGTTCACGCCATTCTCCTGCCTCAGCCTCCCGAGTAACTGGGACTACAGGCACCTGCCACCTCGCCTGGCTAATTTTTTATATTTTTAGTAGAGATGGGGGTTTCACCGTGTTAGCCAGGATGGTCTTGATCTCCTGACCTCGTGATCCACCTGCCTCGACCTCCCAAAGTGCTGGGATTACAGGCTTGAGCCACCGCGCCCGGCCTCTCCATCTTCTTGACATGTGAATAGAACCCGAGCAACTTGCTGTGAGGCCTTTCATAATCTGCCCTCGCCTCCCTTTCCAACCTTGTCTCCTGTGGTTCTTCCCTCACTCACCCTTCAGGCCACACTGACCTTCTCCCAGCTAATCCTTGAATGCACCAGCACATTCAAACCCAGGGCCTTGCACCTGCCGTAGCCTTGCCTGTTCTTCTATATGTTCTTCTATGAGCTCTTCATTTGCCGCATTCCTTTCTGTTGTTCAGTCTCTGATCAAAAGTCCTTTCCTGAGAAAGGTCTCGAGTTTTTACCTCACTATCCTGCTTTACGGTCTTCGTAGCACTCTCCTCCCTGAAACAGTTTTGTGTCTTTGTTGGTTAAATGATTTTGTTTCTTATCTCCCCCACAAAGCATATAAACCTCAAGTGGACTGAGCTGTGTGTCCTGTTCACCACTGCAACCTCAGGGTGTGGTATGGTTTGGCGTATAGCAGGTGTTCAAAAACTATTTGTCGAGTGAAATAATTAATGAACATGAGCCCAGAAACAGCTCTAAAGTCCAGAGAGCTGCCGTAGGCGGGCTCAGAGCCTCGCCCGTCCCTGGAGGCGCTACGTGGTGGGAAACTGCCACTTAGGAGAGAACCAGCAAGTCAGTGGGAAAATGGGGTTTGGCATCAGACAGATGAAGGTTTGAGTCTTGGTTCTGTCACCTCCTGCCTGGCTGCAGGCCTTGGACAAGTTATTTGACCTTGTTGACCTGGCATGGTGGCTCCCGTCTGTGATCCCCGCACTTCGGGAGGCCGAGGCGGGCACGGTGGCTCACAGCTGTAATCCCAGCACTGTGGGATGCCGAGGTGGGTGCATCGCCTGAGGTTAGAGACCAGCCTGACCAACATGGTGAAACCCCATCTCTACTAAAAATAAAAAAATTGGGCCAGCTGCGGTGGCTCAGCCTGTAATCCCAGCACTTTGGGAGGCTGAGGCGGGCGGATCATGAGGTCAGGAGATCGAGACCATCCTGGCTAACACGGTGAAACCCTGTCTCTACTAAAAATACAAACATTAGCCAGGTGTGGTGGCGGCACCTGTAGTCCCAGCTACTCGGGAGGCTGAGGCAGGAGAATCGCTTGAACCCGGGAGGCGGAGCTTGCAGTGAGCTGAGATTGCACCACTGCACTCCCTCCAGCCTGGGTGGACAGAGCAAGACTCTGTCTCAAAAACAAACAAACAACAACAACAAAAAACCCCCAAAAAACAAAAAAACAAAAATTAGCCAGGTGTAGTGGCGCGTGCCTGTACTCCCAGCTACTCGGGAGGCTGAGGCAGGAGAATGGTGTGAACCCGGCAGGCGGAGGTTGCAGTGAGTCGAGATCGTGCCACTGCCCTCCAGCCTGGATGACAGAGTGACATGCTATCTCAAAAAAAAAAAAAAAGAAAGAAAGAAAGAAAAAGAAAAGCCTCAGTCCCTTCACCTGTAAAGACAGGGGTTTGATTAGAAGCCACCCCAGAGTGATTCTGGGTTGACTGAAGGCTGCTTCTGAAGCCCTGGACAAGTGCCACACCCTGACCAAGTGCTAAATAGACGTGTGCACCAGGCCGCCGAGGCCACAGGAGCTGGGGGAGGTGCTTACGGAAGGACCATGCTACTGCAGTCCCCCTCACACGCACCACTTGGCTTTTGTTTTTCTTTTTCCTTTGTGTTAGAGACACAGTCTCACTCTATTGCCTAGGCTGGTGTGCAGTGCTGTGATCACGGCTCAGTGGCTCACTGCAGCCTCGACCTCCTGGGCTCAAGTGGTCCTCCTCCCTCAGCCTCTCCAGTAGCTGAGACTACAGGCATGCGCCACCACCCCTGGGTGATTTTTAAATTTTTTTGAGACAGTGTTTTCCTTATGTTGTCCAGTCTGCTTTTAAAATTCCTGGGCTCAGGTGGTCCCTCTGCCTCAGCCACCCAGAGCACTGGGATTACAGGCATGTGCACTGTGTCTGGCCTGTTTTTCTTTCCTGTGGCACTAACCGCCCCCACAGAGGGAAAAGTAAGCAGCAGAGCCCTGGGTTGAGGGCGGCTGGCGTAGGGGCAGGGACTGGCCAGACTGTTACTTCTCCACTGCCCGCCTCCAACATAACCCCATTGTGGGAGCCAGGTAAGGAAATGCATGAGCACTGATTCTCCACAGGATTTCCAGTGTTACACACGTGGTAATATTGCTCACATCACTTGAATCTGCAGTACTGTGTGAAGTTGGTGTGGCAAGAAGCAACGCTGCGAGGGTGGTGGGTGGAGGAGGAGGGGCCAATCTCACAGGCCAGGAACCCATGCAAGGCGGCCGCCTTCCTCCCACCCCGCACCTTCCTCTGTCTCTGGCTAACACCTGGGTGCTGGGCTTTATGCATCCTGACCCAGAAAAGAGCGAGTCACAAGCGACCAATATGATGGAGGGGATACCATCGCACACCAGGCAAATACAGGCTCAGTTGCCAATTCCCACATCCCTCCAGCCCCTTTTGATGGGCAGGGAACTTTCTTGCTTCTGTTCACACGAAAACAACAGTTGGCCCTACGCATGTAACGAAGCAAGCACTTGCGTACTGTGTGCTTACTCCATGCTGAGCACTGTTCTTAAACACGACCAGCACTGCCTGTGTAATTCTCCCAGCACCCTGCGAGGCGGCTACAATCATTAGCCCCAGTTTACAGACGAGCCAATGGTCGCTTGGCGAGGTTTAGGAATTGCACAGCCAGTAAGTGGCCAGGCCAGGATTTGGACCCAGGTCATGCAGCCCCAGAGTCTATGCACTTCACCGCCATGTGACGTGGCCTAGTCCCAAGGGGAATGGCTTGCCTTGTAGGGGATGAGCTGCCCATCATCGTGGGTGACAGGCAGAAGTGACTGAGCTAGACAGCGGTCTCCTCCACATATTCAGTGTGTCCTCTGTGTGGAGCTCTGAGCTGAGCACTCTGCCAGTGCCATCTCATTTCAGCCCGATGACACAATGCCAGACGGAACCATCATTCCACTATATGGATGAACAAACTGGGTTTAGAGAGATTGGGTAGCTGGCCCGAGATCTCTGGCTGCTGAGGGCTGGAGCTGGGACTCAAACAAGTTTGCTTAATGCAGATCCCAAGCTCTTCACCTCTTATCAGGGATGGCGTCCAATCAGTGAGGGTTGGCTGGACTAGATGACTTTTGCCGTCCTAGTCAATCCAAGATCAATCCAAGTCAATCCAAGTCAATCCTTCTGCCTGGCTTGACAAACCGTCTTCATCTGGCTTCCTGGACATCGCCATCTCTTGGTTTTTGGTTGTTTTTTCCAGTTGGCTTTTCCAATTTATACCTGCAGCATGGATCTCTCCTCTGAACTCCGGATGCATAAATCTGTCTACTGGACATTGCCTTGGATGTCTAGAAGGCATTTCAAACTCAGCAGGTCCCACACTTAGCTCCTAATCGTCAGTCCTGCCTCCAGCACATGCCCCTCTTGGTGTTCCCCATCGCAGTTGCGGACAACTGCATTCTTCTAGTTTCTCAGGCCTCAAACCTTAGAATCATCCCAAACTCCTATCTCTCACATATCTCATCTGTCAATGAATCCCATCAGCTCTACCTTCAAAATATGTCCAGAATCCACCACCTCCACTGCTAACACCTGGCTCACTATCTCCTAGTAACCTGGCGGGCACTGTCTTCAATCTGATCTTGACACAGTAGCTGGAGTATGAAGACACAGGGTAGACGACGCCTCTCTTCTCCTCCAAACTCTCCAGTGGGTTCCTCCTGGTCAAAGTCAAACCTTACTTGGCCTCCAGACCTCACCCCTGCATCCTCCAGCTGGACCTTATCTCCTCCACCTGGGCCCCTTGCTAGCTCTGCTTCAGCTCCACCGCCTCCTGGCCATTCCCTGAACCCGATACATGCTCTCCTACCCCAGGGCCTGTGCGCTAGCTCTCCCGGGGAGGAAAACGCTCTCCTCCCCATCTCCACTGTGTCGCATCCTTCACCTCTTTGCTCACATGTCCCTTTCTCAGAGAAGCTTCTACTGAGGCCTCTGCTCACCCTCTTCTCCCCTCCACATTCCCTGTCTTCCTTTCTATTTCGTTCTTCTCTACGGGACTTATGGCTCGTGTAACAAACTAACCTATTGTTTGTGTATTTATTTTTGCTGCTTCTCCGTGAAAACGTACACTCGAAGCAGCCAGGAGTTTTGTCTGTTGATCACGTTGCACCCTGGAAGGTGGGGCGGTGTTCAGCACAGCAGGTGTTCAGTAGATGTTGTTCTGTGAATCAGCAAGTGAGTTGCAGCGTCGTGGCTACCGGGGGTTAGGATGCGGCGGGGGAGCCTCCGGCCTTTGTGTGGCGGCGGCGGACTCTGTGTCAGCGACCGACCGTTCACATCTTGGAAACTCAGATCCTCAATAGCTCTTGAATTCCAGGAATCCTGAGAAGAGGCCTGGATTAAGGATTTCGTCGTGGGCCCTCAGATGGGTGAGAAACGGGGAACCCGTGTGTCCCAGCGGGGACGGAGGGCAGTGACAGCACAGGCAGGTGGACGGGGGGCAGTGACAGGACGGGCAGGTGGACGGGGGGGCAGTGACAGGACGGGCAGGTGGACGGGGGGCAGTGACAGGACGGGCAGGTGGACGGGGGGGCAGTGACAGGACGGGCAGGTGGACAGGGGGGCAGTGACAGGACGGGCAGGTGGACAGGGGGGCAGTGATAGGACGGGCAGGTGGACGGGGGCCAGTGACAGGACGGGCAGGTGGACAGGGGGGCAGTGACAGGACGGGCAGGTGGACGGGGGGGCAGTGACAGGACGGGCAGGTGGACGGGGGGGCAGTGACAGCACAGGCAGGTGGACAGGGGGGCAGTGATAGGACGGGCAGGTGGACGGGGGGGCAGTGACAGCACGGGCAGGTGGACAGGGGGGCAGTGATAGGACGGGCAGGTGGACGGGGGGGCAGTGACAGCACGGGCAGGTGGACAGGGGGTGAGTGACAGGACGGGCAGGTGGACAGGGGGGCAGTGACAGGACAGGCAGGTGGACAGGCCTGGGCAGGGGCCGGGCAGGAGGCCGCGCGGGCGGGTCTGCGGAGCGGGGGCTGCTGGGGGTTTCGCTGCCCAACTGGGGCGCTGAGCAAGTTACTCAACCTCTGTGAACTTCCGCGTCATGATTGTGGAGGAAACTCCGGCAAAGAAACAGCTTTTCTCTCCGGCGGGTCCGACGGCCCGAGCCCCGCCCCGCAGCGCAGATGGAGGGCGCGGAGGCTGCGAGGGCGGCGCGGGAAGGGTCCGAAGATCCGGCGGGCGGAGCCGCGGGCTGGGCGGTGGGAGGCGGCGCGGGGTGTTCCCGGGGGTGGGGGCGGGGCCGACCCGCGGCTAAAGGTTCCCGGTTCACCCGCCCGCGCCCGGCCTGGCCCAGTCTCACCGCGAGCGCCGCGGACACTCGGGGCCGCAGTCGGTCTGTCCGTCCTCCCGCCAGGTCCCGCCCCGCACCTGCCGCCGCACCTGCCCCCGCACCTGCCCCCGCACCTGCCCCCGCACCTGCCGCCGCACCTGCCCCCGCACCTGCCCCCGCACCTGCCCCCGCACCTGCCCCCGCACCTGCCGCCCCGCGGCCCGGCCCCAGCATGGCTGACCAGGCGCCCTTCGACACGGACGTCAACACCCTGACCCGCTTCGTCATGGAGGAGGGCAGGAAGGCCCGCGGCACGGGTGAGCTGACCCAGCTGCTCAACTCGCTCTGCACGGCCGTCAAAGCCATCTCCTCCGCGGTGCGCAAGGCCGGCATCGCGCACCTGTGAGTCGCCTCGGGCGGGGCCCGTCTGTCTGTCTGTCTGTCTGTCTGTCTGTCCGTCCGCCCGGGGAGCCTGTCCGGCGCTGGGCCCTCTGGTCCTCCTGCGTCAGCCTCTGTCTGTCCGTCTGATGTCCGGGCGCCTCTCTCGCTCTCCGTCTGGTGGCCCCTCTCTGCGGAAGCTGGCTCAGCCTCACTCAAGTTCTCACCCCCTCCCTTGACCTTGGAGGGGCCACCTGGGGGTCCGTCTCGCAGGTGCACGCCGGATTCCATCCTCGTGCCCCTCTCAGCCGGCACCTGGCCTGCCCGTCATACCCGCCCTGGCCTCAGACAGGAAGTGCTGGCTCAGGTGCCTTCCGTCCCCATCTCTTCTTTCTCTCTTTCTGTGATGAGGCGCCCAAGTCAGGTTTCTAGTCCAGTATCTCTGACCCGAAACGAGGCTTGTTAGGAGCGAGTGTCCCCCTCCCAAGCAGGCTGGAGGTCTCCTGTGTGTCCAGAGCCTTTAGGAGCAGCAGCCTGGTGTGCAAAGGAGCTCCCGTGGGCTGCCCCTTGCTGGGACCGTTGCCATGCTGTGCCAGAAAGAGGAAACACCCAGGGCTTCAAAACCCTTATCCATTTGCAATGACGGTGTGTGCAGCCCCCACCCAATTAGTGGAAAGCTCAAAAGTTGTTTGTAGAATGGTTTCGAATGCTCTGTGGGGTGCATCTCGAACGTCACTGGGCACCGGAATCATTGGGGATCTTGGTAAGACGTGTGCCCTCTTTCCGTCGCTCTGGGACGGGTCCTGAGATTCGGCATTTCTGAGAAGTCCTCCTGTGGTGGATGCTGCCCGTCAGATACTGTGTGTCTGCTGATCTCATTGTGAGTAGCAAGGGGTCAAGGCGAGGGGAGACTCAAAGGACCCCTTCTTGTGAGGTTTTTGTAAGTCACACAACATCCTTTCGTTTGTGTTGGTGTGCACAGGTATTTTCTTTTCCTTTCCTTTCTTTCTTTTCTTTTCTTTTCTTTCTTTCTTTCTTTTTTTTTTTTGAGACGGAATTTTGCTCTTGTTGCCCAGGCTGGAGTGCAATGGTGCGATCTTGGCTCACCGGAACCACTGCCTCCCGGGTTCAAGCGATTCTCCTGCCTCAGTCTCCCGAGTAGCTGGGATTACAGGCATGTGCAACCACGCCCAGCTAATTTTGTAATTTTTTTTTAGTAGAGACGGGGTTTCTCCATGTTGGTCAGGCTGGTCTCGAACTCCCGACCTCAGGTGATCCGCCTGCCTCGGCCTCCCAAAGTGCTGGGATTACAGGCATGAGGCACCGTGCCCAGTCGTGCACAGGTGTTTTCTAGCTAACTGATCCACACTTTTAACTAAAGGGTAACTGGGTTTTCAGATTGTCCATACACCTTCCTAACATTTCCTGCACTTACGTACGCTATAAAAATGACACATGATGGACCGGGCGCGGTGGCTCACGTCTGTAATCCCAGCACTTTGGGAGGCCAAGGCGGGTGGATTGCCTGAGGTCAGGAGTTCAAGACCAGCCTGACCAACATGGTGAAACCCCGTCTCTATTAAAAATTCAAAAATTAGCTGGGTGTGGTGGTGTGCGCCTATAATCCCAGCTACTCGGGAGGCTGAGGAAGGAGAATTGCTTGAACCCTGGAGGCAGAGGTTGCAGTGAGCCAAGATAGCACTATTGCACACCAGCCTGGACGACAAGAGTGAGACTTCATCTCAAAACAAAAGACACATGATGCTCAGAGCTGACCTGAACAATATAATACCCACTACTTTGGTTTGGAATGCATGTCTCCATTTTTAAAATCTCTTCTCCGCCCCCCATCCTGCAATCTAGATTCCTCTTCTTACTGGGAGGCTGTCTGGCGTTGGTCCCACAGTATGGATTGGCGGAGATCATTCATGTAAAGGAGTTGTATGATCACATTTATTTTTGAATATTAAGCAGACATGTTAAGGAAGGCGATGACTCCATTGCTGTTGCCTCTGGCCCCTCTTAATAATACATTCCTAAGGATTCTTACTTTAAGAAACACACCCAGGTGAAATCTTATTCAAGCTTTAATTTACAGCTATTATAGGTGGCTCACAGCTTTAACTGCCTTTGAGGACCAGGGATATATTTTAAAAAGAGGGCTGTCGACTGGGTGCTCACACCTGTAATCCCAGCACTTTGGGAGGCCGAGGCAGGTGGATCACCTGAGGTCAGGAGATGGAGCCCAGCCTGGTCAACAAGGTGAAACCCCGTCTCTACTAAAAATAAAAAAATTAGCCAGGCTTGGTGGCGGGTGCCTGTAATCCCATCTACTTGGGAGGCTGAGGCAGGAGAATTGCTTGAACCTGGGAGGCGGAGGTTGCAGTGAGCCGAGATTGTGCCACTCTACTCCAACCTTGCGACAGAGTGAGACTCTGTCTCAAAAAAAGTAAGTCTCAGAAAAGAAAAAAAAAAAGGGCTTATCATGTCTGATAGCTTAAAAAATGGTCAGTACCTGTCACACTCCTAGAGAGACTTAGAAATGTAAGATGTGTTTTGAAGTGTCCCACTTCCTAAGTAACCTTAGATAGTGGGACCTCAGATAGTGAGATTTTGATAGTAGGGCCTGGATGAAGCATGCTAATTTTGGCTACAGAAGATATGCGTATTATTTATTTATTTATTTTGAGATAGAGTCGCACTCTGTTGCCCAGGCTGGAGTGCAGTGGTGTGATAATGGCTCACTGCAGCCTCACCTCCCGGGCTGAATTGGTGCTCCCACCTCAGCCTTCCCTGTAGCTGGGACTACAGGCATGTGCACCATGTCGGATAATTTTTGTGTTTTTGTACAGATGGGGTTTTGTTATGTTGCCCAGGCTGGTCTCAAATTCTTGGATTCAAGCGATCTGCCCACCTTGGCCTCCCAAAATGCTGGGATTACAGTTATGAGCCACTGTGCCTGGTCAATATGTGTACTTTTTTTTTTTTTTTTTTGAGACAAACTTTCGCTCTCTCCGCCAGGCTGGAGTGCAGTGGCGGGATCTCTGCTCACTGCAAGCTCCGCCTCCTGGGTTCATGACATTCTCCTGCCTTAGCCTCCTGAGTAGCTGGGGCTACAGTTGCCCGCCACCACGCCTGGCTAATTTTTGTATTTTTGGTAGAGACAGGGTTTCACCGTGTTAGCCAGGATGGTCTCGATCTCCTGACCTCGTGATCCACCCGCCTTGGCCTCTCAAAGTGCTGGGATTACAGGCGTGAGCCACCGCACCCGGCCATGTGTACTTTTATACTAGATAGTTGTGAATACCAGGCTTTAAAGAAATATTATCATGTGGCATTCATTGACAAAATTTAAACCATTCAATATAATCCAAGGAAAGAGTGAAACCCACCCCATATGTATCCCGGGGGTATCCACTGTAAATGATTTACTGCTTATTTTTCCAGATACTTCTTTACACTCATATGAGTTTACACATGAACACATATTTACATATGCCTATAAGTAAACAGCAGACAAAATGGGATCACACTCAACACACGCTTCTGTAGTTTGCTTTGTTCTTTAACATTATTCAAGGAACATCCTTCAATGTCAGGACATCTACATCTACCTCGTCTACATTCACGGCTGTGTGCTGCTCCCCTGCACACATCAGGAGGTGTTGAAGTTGTTCTCTATTTTGGGGCACTTCGGTTTTTACCAGCCTTTGGGTGTGACAGGGCTGTACCCTTGGGACTGGTGTTGATGCCTGGTTCTTGGGGTAGCTGAGAGGGCGGACTAGATGCTGGACACAGGTGATCTTGCGGGAAGTTTCAGCGTTTGGCCGTTTTCCAGTATCGCATGTCATCGGGCAGGTAGCATGATTCTCAACCAGGCCCCCAACTTCCATTCATTCCAGGCGCTGAAATCCGGAATGAAAAACCAGCATTCCTGCAAAGATCTCGTTAGTGCTGAAGAGCAGACCTAGGACAGCATGTACCCAAAGGGATGGGGTGACTGCAGGCTTGCAGGAACCTCACTGGAGCCGGCTGAGGGAGCTCACCCGGGGTCATGATGGAAACATCAGGAGTTGAAGCACAGAGCCTGGTGTAACCTAAAGTTGCCGTTGTAGTCACTTTTATTGCTCCTATTGAAACGTTCATGGAATCGTCGAGTTTTAAACTGAAAGGCACTCAACAGTCACCTAGTCTGTAGTCTGTCACCTCCTCATACAGAAGAGGACCCTGAGACTGAGGAAGAGGAGATGACTTGGCCTGTGGCTGGGGCCTCAGGAACTCTGGCTTGGGGCTCTTTTGGCCACACTACACATCTCTTCCTTTATTTTTTAGAAATCAATTAAAATTCACCAAACTCTAAATCTCATCCATTAGTTATTCTTTTTTTTTTTTTTTTGAGACGGGCTCACTCTCTGTCACTCAGGCTGGAGTGCAGTGGTACAATCTCAGCTTACTGCAACCTCTGCCTCCTGGGCTTAAGCAATCCTCCCA